CCCTTCTCCACCCCTGTTGTCCTTTCTCTAACCTGATTGCCTCAGCTCCCTATAAGGCTTCTCTTCCTCAGATGGCCCTAACCCACAGCGTCTCAGTCCAAATTCCAAGAACAAGATTCTTCTTAGCCAGTGGGTTGACTTCCTCCTGGGCCCAAGAAGGCAGGACTCCAAAAAGGGAAACACGGGCTAGGTAGATCATAGCAAAAGCTCTCTACCACAAGCTCAGGACACATTAAAAACGATGTAATATAATGGTTGGGCTCCAAGGTCAGTTTACAATTCCTGTTTGATCCATATCATTGTAAAATATTTATTTGCAATGAGAAAAAGAGGAGTGTGAAATTTAAAGACTGAAATTACCTAGTGGTGTTTCCCCTCCCCCCTCCATGATTTTTAAATGGTTGCATGGTATTCCAAGTAAAAGTGTTTTATTTATCTTAAATAATGGCTTTGCTATAAGGTGTAGATTTTAGCACCTGAAAGGACCATCAACAATAATAATATCTAGAGCTTATTCAGTGATTACTATTACCAGACTCTGTGTTTTTTATATACTGTCTCATTCAGACCTTGCAATAGTCCTGTGAAAATAGATGCTATTATTTTCCCTGTTTTAAAGATGGGGGGACTGAGGCACAGAGAGATTAAATCATTAACAAAAGTCGTAAGGCTGGTTAGAGTCAGAGCCAGGATTCGAGCCCAGGAAACCTGGTTCCAGAGTCTGTACTCTGAACTTCTCTGCTACCCTGCCTTTATCAGAGGCCAGCAAGTATGATGTTCCAGGGTAAACAATCCAGAATGTAATCTGAGTAATAGTTCTCTCGTATTGGAAGTGTTCAGACAGTCTGGAGCAGGGCTGTTGTAGAGGAAATGAGGAAGTATATTAGTGGTTGCTAGGCCATGGACTCTCTGCCTCAGAATCACCCAGGGAGCTAATTAAAAACCATGAATTCCAAGGTCCAAATGCAGAGGTTCTTATTCACCAGGTCAGTAGGTCTGGGGTGGAACCCAGTAATCTATATTTTTAACAAGTTCTCTAGGTGATTGTGATATTCAGCCTGGTTTGGAAACTCTGGACTTGGTAATCTTTTTTTTTTTTTTTTTTTTTTTTTTTTTCGTTCTTGCGGCCAGAGCACAGGCTCCGGACGCGCAGGCCCAGCGGCCATGGCTCACGGGCCCAGCCGCTCCACGGCACGTGGGATCCTCCCGGACCGGGGCACGAACCCGTGTCCCCTGCATCGGCAGGCGGGCTCTCAACCACTGCGCCACCAGGGAAGCCCCCTTGGTAATCTTTTATTGCCACCATTATCTCCTAGGACTAGATGGTAAATGAAGACTTTGAGGGTTAGTGGTTGGTTCAAGGAATGCATTTAGGCATTATACCTTTAGGATCTTTCAAGATTACGACATTGGTTCTTTTTGTCTCAGAGAATATAGCAAAGGAGTGGCAGAATAAGAAATGAGGTGGTATTAGAATAAAGTGGAGTTCTGGGAGGTTTGTTTTGTTTTGTTTTTTTCAGTTTGAAAGCAGTCACTGTTTATTAACTGACCAGATTACAAAAATAATCATGGTAGATACCTTAGTTCATCCTTCTAATAAGCCTGTTGATCTGGTCTTCCCTGTTGCCAGCTTCTCCACCTTCTACAAAATGGGTGGTCTTTTTCTTCATTCCACCTCGTGGAGAAGACAATTTGAAGGGCCACAGGAAGTTGTTTGCTTCTTTGAAACGTTTTCCAACGGTATAGATCTCATGAATCAGATCCTCCATGCAGATAATACCGTATTTGCCAAGAGATCAAGCAATCAACACGTTATCCGTCAGGGCAGTTCGCTTCTTGTTGCTTTTGCCATAACCACGCTTGTAGATCAGTTCATTTACTGACTTCAGGTTTGGGTACCCCCATGCAATGTATGGTTCCATGATTCTCAGCATGTTAATTGAAGCCTCGTGCTTCACAAAGGTGCCATTGAAAATCTGACGGAGGCAAAGAAGCTGCAACACCTTTCGAACCTTTGGGCTCACACCATTGATACCTCTGATCCTGATGACAAATGCCAATTTGGCGGGTACGCGGAAGTTGCCAGCTTTTCTTGCCATCCCAGCCATTCGAATTCCAGCTCTGTACATCTGCCGGTATTCCCTGTGATAGTGCTTAGCTTTTTCATAGATAAACTTCCTCCTTGCCTTTTGAAGCATCTTTTGGGCAAATTTCTTCTTCAGGCACTTGATCTGAAGCTCTGTGAAACTCACTTTTTCTTAAGGGTTTCTGGCACAGCAGGAACCTTCTTTTTCTTCTCTTCTGCACTCTCCATGGTTCCAGCCAGGAAAGAGCTGTTTTGTTTTTGTTTTCTCCACAAAGAGAGCAGGCCTCTAGCTCAGAGCCTTCAACAGATGGCAGTATCTCTAGAAGTTAATAACATGACTTTGTTTGCATTGTGCTTATGTGTACAGTTACTTTTATCTACAGATGTGATACAGACTTTCAACATAAATGTATGAAAGAAAAATGAGTTTTTTAAAGAAAAGCATAAACAATAATAATTTGGTTCATGGATATAGCAAAAAAAAAATCATAACAGTAGAAGAAATGAATGAAATTTGGGAAATGCCAACTTGGATGAAGCCACAGGTACTCGTTATGGAAGTCCTGGGGAAAACTTGGAGTGCTTTTTCAGCACACTCATTTCCTGTCACTGTTGAGAACCACGAGTCTAGAATAAAGGACAAAAATCACATCTGCCACTTGTAGTGAAAAAGTTGGGAGCTTACATATATCAAGCCCTAGCACAGTGCCTGGCTTACTTCAGTCATTTAATAAATGTTATTTCCATTGTTTCCATCCTCCACTCCCTCCTAATAGAGACCAGGATTCTCCTGCTAACTTATAGTATGCTCTTAAAGAGCAAGTCACAGTGAAGAGGTTAGACCAGATCACTTCTGTAATCCCCTCCAGTGCCTAAGTGCTTTGTTTCCTTTAGTGTCATTTTAGTGGGGTTTTGGAAAGAAATGGAAACAAGCACATGTGTTTATCTATTTATGTATAGCAAATTCTGAAGTTCTTTGTTTTACTCTAAATAGTCCATACTTAAATTTGAAAGAGAAGATTATTGTCATCATCCAACCATCCTTTCAAGGTCTAATGAAGATTAAATGTTATTTACAACTTAATGTAATTTAGACTTTGAGTAGTTTAATGGCAAAATACAATGATCAGTTGATTTTTATGTTGTATGATCAAGCAGCTTTCACGTGAGTATACAGGGGAGTAAATGTCATTTCCAAAACTAATTATTTTGGGCCCTCATAAGAAATAAAGCTAGGTGTTTCATCCCATATTTTATAGAAATAGAATTTGAAATATTTCTTTAAGAGTCAGTGATTTTAGGGACTTCCCTGGTGGCACAGTGGTTAAGAATCCTCCTGCCAATGCAGGGGACACAGGTTCGAGCCCTGGTCTGGGAAGATCCCACATGCCGCAGAGCAACTAAGCCCGTGTGCCACAACTACTGAGCCTGCGCTCTGGAGCCCACGAGACACAAATACTGAGCCCACGTGCCACAACTACTGAAGCCCGCGCACCGCAACGGAGAGTAGCCCCCCACTCACCGCAACTAGAGAAAGCCCGCGTGCAGCACTGAAGACCCAAAGCAGCCAAAAATAAATAAATTAAATAACTAAATTTTTTAAGAAAGAGTCTGATTTTAAAAGAGGAATCAAATTACCAGGAAGTTCATCATAATCACATAGATTCTTAGACTGGGATATCATTTTGCTTTTATTTATGATATTTTACTCTTCTTTTAAATGTGTCTGACAATCTTTCCCTGTAGTTTACATCTGTATCTCTACCAACTAGACATTTAAGGTGTCAGTTCCTCCCTTAGCTAATTTTATAGACTTTGAGCTAGAAATCTGGTATTCTTACAAACTTAAATATACTGAATTTTGTTTCTTGATATTGAAGAAATTATTAAAGGAAAATTCTTATGTCTAACATTCTTGCCCAAGAGGGAGGTTCTGTAGCCTCAGAAGTCAGTAACTATTTATGTACATGTATAGTGCAGTTTTCTTTCTAATGTTAAAACAAAAAAACTACTTCAGGTAGCCCTGTATTATTTATATCTTATATGTCTGTGTACTTGAATTACTCAAATTTTGAGCTCCATGGTTATGATTATAATGTACCAGTTGATTTAAATTATTGATATAACAGTATTTGGTAATGGTGCAGGTTGGAATAAAAGATCATTAAGCTAAATATTTTAATCTTCATTGGCTCCCTGTTGCTTGGAATTTGTCAGAGTGAAATAGAATCACAGCATTTCAGAACTAGAAGGGCCCTTAGAGATTGTCTCATCCAGTCCCTCATTTGACACATGAGAGAACAAGCCCAGCTACTTGCCAAGGACCTACAGCTAGTTAGTAGCAAAGCTAGTACCAGAATCTAGGTCTGCCGTTTCCTCCTGATTCCGTTGGGATTTTTAGGTGGTGTTCTCTCTATTTCACTCCCTAATGTTGATGCCAATTATTCTAATCAGTTTCACATCTGTTTATTTTTAGGACATAGAGTTTCCCTCCATTATGAGTCTTTCTTGGTTAAACTTTATATCTGGCTTTCTTTTAGGTTGGTCTCCACTCATCTCTTTTAATCTTGAAGACTTCAAAATATACCTGGATCTACCATTTTTTTTGAAAACTCCAATATCAAGCAATCAATGACCCACCGTGCTCTTGTTATAATATAGAAGCTTTTCAGTTCTCCAACTGTAAACAAGATTTTCTCCCATTTTCCCATGAAGCCACATTGTTGTTTATTCACTTTAGTGGTGAGTGTTACTGTGCCAGCTGCTTTTGCTTTGGAAGATGTAGGCTTCAACCAAATGACCCCGCTGGGAGCAAATCATAGTTCTTCCAATGCATCATTTCTCCCAAGTTTTGAACTCTCAGCAGATTCCCACTCAGGTGATGATGTCATCATAGCCAGAGAGGGAACTAGTGTTTCAATTGAGTGTCTTCTCACAGTCGACCACTATGAAGGTGTCTATTGGTACAACTCAAAAGGACAGCAGCTGGATAACAGAGGCAGAGGTATAATCAAGGTTACTTATTTCCTATTACTTCTTTCTTCTTGGTTTTAAGGCATATTCAACAAGAAATCTATGAGGTACTACAGTAAATAGGTAAAACTTTGGAAGGCCTGGAGTATTATACCTATCAGAAAAAGCAAAATAATGGTAATTACTTAACCAGAAGAAAATAAATAGAGAATAGTTATAAATTTGAAAGGTGTTCACATAATGCTGGTGAGCTATTTTCTGTCCTCTTGGTGAGCTGGTTTCCTTCTTCATTCAAGGTAGACTCCATCAGGGTTGCTGCATACAGCTGTGCAGGCTACGCGCTGCACAACTCCAGGGGCACCATTCACCTAGACTGTAATGTGAGTAGTACAGAGTGCTGGCCCTGTGTGAATACAGCAAGAAGGGTTTGGGTTAGACTTAGAGTCATAAATAAAAATGTTTTTCTCAGAAATGAGTTACTAAAAATGTTGGAGGAAATCCAGGATGTTTTTAAAAATAGTTATAAAGATCTGTGCATAAAACTTTAAGTTCCTCAGAATCAGAAGGGCACCGAGGAGGAACTCTATAAGCCCTTCCTATTCTATACCTTAATTTACTTGAAAACAGGAGAGTTTCCCTTGTATTGTTTTTGTCTGTCAGTCTTAAAAAATCACACAAACATCATAATAATGTGACCAAGGTCTACATTTTGACAGGTTTTTATTTGATTATGCTGTTTATGAACCCATAAACACATCTTAATCAGAATACTATTTCCTTTAATTAGTGTTCTGTTAGACAGATTCTTTTTTTGAAGACTACTTGTGTTAAAACACCTTTGGAAGAAATCTCCATGAAATATCAATGGGATAAAGATTAAATTCTGGGATCCTCATAAGCTACACGTTTTGGAAAAGGCCCCTTTATATTTTTTGCTAGAAAGATAGTCTAATCTCTTGGAATATAAGGATATTTGGCTATTCATATTAGAGTGGAAAACAGAAAAGGAGACAGATGGTGCTTCCTTCTAAAGAATACGCTAAACATTTTAACCTTCTACAAACTGAGTAACTGGCCACCAAGGGATTGAAGAGTTTGAATGTTAGAAAGAACAGAGCTTCTTAAGAATATAGACCTATTAAATCAGAATCTCTACAGTGGTGCCCAGAAATCAGAATCTCTAGAGTGGTATTTTGAACATGATTTGGGGTTCCCTGTTTGGATCCACTGAACTAGACTCTTATCTCGTTTGGCTCTAGGGTCCTAACAAACCCATTTAAGATATGAATTAATCAATGTGATTATTACGGACTGACTGTATAGACAAAGCTTAGGTCAGGATGAGACCAGCCAAGTAGAATGACAGTTTTATTTTCCTATTTTGCCCTTACTTTGAAAACCACTAACATCTGTCATTGATGCTTTCAGCAGCAGCTCTGGACAATTATATTAAATTTTATGAATCTCAAGTGAGAAGAGTTTAAAGAGCATATTAGTCTAGTATAAGGTTCATAAATCTTGAGCTATTATCAGCAAGTGAGCTAGAGAGTTTAGATTGTGGTTATAGTGGTTGATGAATGGAGTCTATGTAGTTCATCATACCATGGATTCACAGGGTATCCTTTTCATAGCTCCAAGTTTATATAACAAGTTTATAAAATAATGACTATATTCATAACTACATGTTTTCCTCTTTACTTTAGTAAAAATATAACTAGAATTTAGATAAATTTTGATGATGATAAGAATGGGCACAATCCACAGTACTTACTAATTGATGTGCCACCCAAATAATCCTGAACCATAGAATCTCAGGGATGAAAGAGATCTGGAAGATTAGACATTGAAATGGTGCTTAACAAGCAGTCACCCAGCCTCCTCTGGGACACCACTTCTAGGCATTGGAACTCATACCTACACCGCACATCTATCCCATCTTTGAATGGCTTTCATAATTAAAGCACAGAGTACACTGAGAACTTACCACAAAGGTGAGAATTGTTCAGGCAGAGCCAAGTTGTTGTTTTTTTTCCAAGTTATTAAAGGATGTTGAATCACGGTGGGTGGTCAGTGTGCTTTGTTTTTCATACTCATGTGCTTTTGTATACGTGTTCCCTAAATGAAGATACCTTCATGTATGGAAGAGAGGCAGCATGTTTTAGGTTTAAAACAAGCCTAGGCATCTTAAGGGCAACTTTTTTCTCTCTCCCAAGCTGGTCATTTAGCCTCACTTGTGAAACATATCTTTTGGCTTGTGCTTCATTTACTCCTGCCAGAAAAACAAGATACTATCATCAACCAACCTTTTCTAACAAGACAAATTAACATGTGCAAGGCATGCCAGATTAGCCACTTAGTAATTGAAGAAATGCATTAAATTGGTAGGGTTTTTTAAAAATAGTTTTTGTCTTAAATAAGTTCATTATTGAAAGTAAACAGTTTAAAAGGAAGTAAAAATTACTCATAACACATTTTAAATAACCATTGTTTTATATTTCTGAGGCACATCCTTCTATTTATGAGAAAGTCTAGGTAGAGACTGTGTTATAGACACACACACACACACATAAATATTCCTTTCTAAGTTTAGTCATTTAGCATTATGTCGACACACCTGTCTCCCTGAAAGGCTTCTTACATCTAGCAGTGAAAAGGTAGTTATGATAATCATTAGTGTCAGGAAGATCTTGATTCCCTTTTTTAAGTTCCAGGCTGTTTAAATTCTTACTCTGAACATAAAAAGTCTGCCCTTTCTTACATCTTTTAAGGAAATAGCAGAGCCTAATAGAAGAGTTGATTTAAAGTACTCTCATGAAGAGGTGGAATATTGATAAGGCAGTTGGCATATTTAGTAATAGTATTCTTTATGCTGTAATTTTTTATTTCTGTTGGGTCATCAGGTGGAAAATGGTTGGTTTCTGATAACTTCCTGAATATCACCAACATAGCCTTTGCTGACCGTGGGCTCTATACATGTTTTATCACCTCTCCGATCCGTGCCTCCTACTCGGTCACCCTGCGTGTTATCTTCACCTCGGGAGACATGAGTGTCTACTACATGGTGGTTTGCCTGATTGCCTTTACAATCACTCTCATCTTGAATGTCACACGGCTGTGCATGATGAGCAGCCATCTTCGTAAAACTGAGAAAGCCATCAATGAATTCTTCCGAACTGAAGGGGCAGAGAAACTTCAGAAGGCCTTTGAGATCGCAAAACGCATCCCCATCATCACCTCAGCCAAGACTCTGGAGCTCGCCAAAGTCACACAGTTTAAAACCATGGAGTTTGCTCGTTATATTGAAGAACTGGCAAGAAGCGTCCCTCTGCCACCTCTTATTCTAAACTGTCGGGCCTTTGTAGAGGAGATGTTTGAGGCTGTGCGAGTGGATGACCCTGATGACATGGGAGAAAGAATTAAAGAGAGACCTGCCTTGAATGCTCAAGATGGCATCTTTGTCATTAACCCAGAGATGGGCCGGAGTAATTCACCAGGAGGAGATTCGGATGATGGTTCCCTGAGTGAACAAGGCCAGGAGATAGCAGTTCAGGTTTCTGTCCACCTTCAGTCAGAGACCAAAAGTATTGATACAGATTCTCAAGACAGCAATCATTTCAGCCCGCCTGATGATACAGGATCTGCTGAATTGAGCTCTAACTACAAAGATGGGGCATATGAAAGCTGCCAGCTGTGAGCTACCCCAGTACCTACAAAAATGGCTCTCAGAAAAGGAACCTGTTTCATGCAGGAAATAACATTTTTACCAAAAGATAAGTAGGACTTTCCCCTTGCTAATATTAAGCACATCAGAACATGAATTGTTACCAAAATCTTTCTAAAAATTCAGTGTTTTCCCTATCTGATCTTTCTCAGTCATTTACCATGAGCTTGATTAAATGACACATGTTGAGATTTACAGGGGCCTGAGACATCAGCGTAATGGGGAAAGTACCACACCCAGAATTACATGGCTTCTCTTCTGGTCATGGTTCCTCCATTGTTAGGGCTGACACTTATCTTTAGGCCTCAGTTTTCCCACTAACAAGATGAGGGATTTGCACTGGATGATATCTAAAGTCATTTCTGGCCCTCTAACTTCTCACCTGCCACCTTTAAACCAAAAGAATCTTCAGCCCATTTCTGAATAAACACTTCCCTAGACTTTGAGTCCCTTTTTATGGAAAGAACCAAGCTGAAACTTTTTTCTGTGATTTGGATTCCCACACCAATGCTATGCATAGAGGTGTGGGTGTTTTTCAGATGTCTTGCTGGTGGAGCATACAGTTGTATATGCTAGGTTGAATGTCTCCAGTGTAGCCCATGTCTGTATCGTTATACAGATACCGGGGAGCTAACTGCTCATTAGTAAGCTACTTTCCATGAGTAAATTGGAACTTCTGGGGGTGTATCATGTCTTTTTAACTTACTGAAGCATCATTTAGCTCATTGAGCCGGCAGTGATTTCCCAACTGTTCTCCAAAAGTGAACAGTTCGTTCCTAAAGAATAATGTCTTCATTGTTTTTAGAATAAGAAATAATGTCAAATCATCTGTGTCTGGTAAATTAATGGATTTTGACATTTCTGTTCATAGAATTTCTCAGGCTTTCCCTGTTTAAAAGTACTGGACTCTATGAGATAGTTCTGTGTTTGGGATCCCATTCCAGGAGAAAACCCACAGCTGAATTCCTCTTTAGACCTCTGTCAACACTCTTGCCCTCTGTGGTCTTAAATACGGTGCTAAAGGTTGCATGCCTCCTTATCTTGTTTGTCTTGTTTATATTTTATTGTTGAGGTTTTTATTTTTGTGTACTTCAGGTGCAGAATTTTGAGCTAGGGCTGCTTTTGTGGCCTTTCCGAGAAGCACTAACCTGAAATAAGATTAGATAATGGTGTGTGGTGTATGTTACTGTATTAAATATATAGATACTAATACAGATGGATACATATACACACATACAGATGATCTAGACATAAAGAGGGAGAAAAATTATGAGGGATGCCACCTGATTCAACTGTGTATAATAAACACTTAGGACAGTATTTCTTGCCTGGCTGAGATCTGATATTATGGAATTGTACATACTCTTCAGAATAATTTCTTCAGCTACAGTAAGCTTGGCGTCATATAATTTTAAGAACTCGGCAGTGGAGCTCCGTGTGCTTCACATTTCTTCATTTGGCTTCTGATTACTGAAGCATTACTTGAACAGAGGTTCCTGAGAGAAATGTTTGGGGGAGGTTTTTATCAGGATTTTAATTTCAAATGGAGGAAGGCAGGAAATTCGAAGTGTGACCAGATAGAACTCCTTTCTCCTTTGTGAAGGCTTATCAGAAGTATTACATCTGGTCTCAATAGCATGAATGAATCGATGTGCAGTTTTATCAGATGGCATTACAGATAATGATAATGCTGCCTTTTCTGTCTCTCAGGCTGTTTCCATGGAAACCTCCAGAGCCAAACAAAAGCTACCCGTCATTTAGCCAAAGCTTGTCTTGGCTCATAGACCTGTATATCTTTAAAGAACACTGTTTTCATACATTTGGCTATGAGAGTAAGGACTCTTGAACATGCCCTAGATTATAGAACACTTTTTCCCTTCCCAGAATGTTTCTCTTGAAAATGTAAAAAATTTTAAAATCCCTTGTCTGAGGTCTGTCCCCTGAATGTCCCTCAGATCTTTAGATAGCACCTTGCAACCTGTCCCAATATAGCAGGTTTGGGGTCATTTTTAGAATGTAGCTTGTCACATTAAAGAGAATGGATTTACCCCACATGTTCTCATAACAGACATGGGCATTTGGGACCTTAATGTAGACATATTTAATGATCAAAGTCCTGAGAAACAGGGCTTTGGAAAAATACAAGAAATATTGGGAAAAAATAAGTTTGCACAATACTATATAACAAGTATAGGCTACTCCAGTGTATTCTAGATAAATCACTTTAGAAATGTAATGGTGACTTAATTTGGTGGCCAAAGTAACTGGATTACTTTGAGTATTCCAGGTTAAGGTGCCACTGATAAGGAATTAAAGTATGTCAAAATTTAAGTGGAGCTGGTATTACTTTCTAAATCTAGTTGTTCAGAGGAAGAAAACCACACGCACTAACATTTTCTGTAGCTAATCAAATATTCATATATTATTAATACTCATGCTATCTTTTTGTAAAATCCTTAACCTTTTGAACTTAAACTCCAGTCTAACAGTCTTTTGACAATAGTGGTAGTGTAATTATCCTTCTGTCTTGCTAGATTTTATGGTTAGTGAAAATGCCTTTACTCAACAAACTATATTTGAAATAGTTATGTCATCTCATTTACAAATTTTGTCTTGTATTGTGATTTAATGACCCTTACTGTCCTTATGAAATGAAATGGTGGCTTTGTGAAATAAATTTACCAAAAATAGACATGTGAACATTTTTAGAGATTCCTTACCAGCTGAAATCAGACAGACAGGCATCTTTTGAGCTGATACCGCGATTAGTTTGTAGGCAGTTTGATAAGCCTGTCCTCAAAGTCGCATCTGTTCTGATAGTTTAGTTCTTGAGTCTGGCCCGGTGAGCGTTTATATTTCCTACCAACTACCTTGATATAAATATCTTGGGAGTCGCTGACCTGGAATGGTTGTGAGGCTCCCGGCTTCTTCACCTCACTTACCACGTATTTTAAAGTCGAAATACCCAGCTTCCCTTTTGTCCTCCAGCCACAGTGAACCCCTTGGCACAGTCCTCTCCACGCCCTGCATGTAGTTTCAACCTAAGTCAGAGTTTGTATTCTGTGTCACAGAGCACCATGGGAGCGTGAATGCTTGTTTTCCAGGGCCCAGCCAGTCATGGGTGCTAGCCTTGCCTCCTCACACCAGCTACGGTAACACAAGTGTATCAGATTTCCTGAATCACCATTAAGAGAACACAGTCTTTTGTCACCTAGGCCAGCAATGTTAAAAGTGCTAAGCCTTGGGCTTCCCTGGCGGCGCAGTGGTTGAGAGTCCGCCTGCCGATGCAGGGGACATGGGTTCGTGCCCCGGTCTGGGAAGATCCCACATGCCGCGGAGCGGCTGGACCCGTGAGCCATGGCTGCTGAGCCTGCGCATCCGGAGCCTGTGCTCCACAACGGGAGAGCCCACAACAGTGAGAGGCCTGCGTACCACACACACACACAAAAAAAGTGCTAAGCCTTATGCATAAACTCCTAGATTCTCAACACATTTCATAAAAGTAAATGAGTTGTTTAATATGGTTCAGATGATGTTTAAATGGTTACCATGTTAATGAACACTTACGTTATAATTTTGTCCTTTTTTTAAAAAAAGTTGTACTTGAATGTAATGTATTAAATGTTCAATGGAGTATATTTTCATTTGTCTGAAGTCTTCTATAGAGATACATTCTTTTTTTTTTTTCTTTGCGGTAGACAAAGTCTGTACCTTTTTATCAAGAAGGCGATAGCTTTCCAGAAGCCTCACCTGACTTCCACTATACAGCTTCCAGAACTAGGTTACATGACTACCTGCAATAACTATAAGAAAGCTTGGGAAGACGAAATTGTATATTTTTTCACTGGACATATTGCAGCAAAGTTTTATTATTAAGAAAGTGAAGAATGGAAGTTGTAGGCAACTGGTAATGTGCAACAAGGTCAACTTCTCTTGAATTACAGGAGCAAAATGTGGTTGTGTGGTGGATATAGTTGCCAACCATGTTCCTCGAAGATACTCACATGTATGGATGAAGAACGTTGTGCACCATATCAGTAAACAAAGGATGTTGCAGCCATCAAGCCATCAGCCACTACAGCCACCCTGACTGTGCACCCTGAGGGGATTCAGGATGGAGAAAAACAGGATACCGGCCTAGATAGTTAAGGTGTACATCAAAGGAATGGTTTCAATGAGCCCAGGCTCTTACATCTTCCCATACATAGAGAAGTATTAAGTTCATTAACTTGAGATGTCTGGTTTTTCTTTAATTAATCTTTTGCTGTTCTGACTACCTGTTTTTTGTTGCAAAAATTCATGTATATCCTGGCTACTCCCTTACCTCTTCAGAACAGTCCCTCAGAACTATCTGAAAGGCCGCCTCCTAGGCTTAAGTCCTCAGTATGTCTGCCGAATAAAACATAATTCTCAGCTTTTAGGTTGTGCATTTTTTTCAGTCCACACATGCATGAACAAAGCAAGAATCAGAAGCATTAAATCTTAGGTTAAATCTTCAAGCCATCACTTATGTAGTCTCTAATACACGTGGCTCAAACAGCAGACAGACAAGTTATGGGATTCTGCTGGGGCATAATTGGCTTATCTTAACCTATTTATTCATTATCAGATACGAACTGGCCACCTGCTATGAGCAGACAATAACAAAGTTCCTAGGGGACAACAAGGTTGGCCTATTGGAGAAAGAGAAGAAATAAGCCTGTGTGGCTGTGAGGGGAGAATGTCAGAGAAGCAGGCAGGGGCCGGGAATAAGGTTAAAAGTTTTCAAAGCTCTTTTTGGCTGTCCCCAGAAATGTGTTTCTTAGAAGAAATGCTAGCAGTGCCTAATTTGGAAGAGGAGATTTACCAATTTAGGGAGGGAAGTTTGATCATTCAGTAGTACTATTTGTTTTGTCCTGAAATCATCTGCGGCTAAAAAAAACAAAACACAACTCGATTGTCCTAATTTTCTTTAAGGAATCAAACTCCTTCAG